TAAAACAACGGTACCTACAGCCATCCAACTTTGAATGACGTAATCCTCCTACGAATATGGGTATGTGGAAGACCCAATCTGAAATTTGGAATTTGTTTCATTATCGATTTCTTATTTTGTAAAACTTTAACGAATTTTTTATTAACAAACTCAACGATTTCAAAGCAAGCAATGGCAACACTGTACGAAAAAAAAATTATTATCTCCAGCGCGCTAGACTGTGTATTGGAAATTTTAAAGGTATGTTGTTTTTAAATAATTTGCGATATTTCTGTTGAATTGAATTTTATGGTTTAAATGCGAAGAACATGATATTTAATAAATAAAGCTAACACACAAAACGTTAAAAAAACGCCCATTCAGGAGTAATATAAATTTTGAAAATTTTCAGAATTTTTTTTTCTTCGAATTATGCAATAAATGTTAGCTTGTTTTGTAACCACAAGAAATGCTTTTTGGTAAATTAATGAGATTTAAGAAAAGGAAATTTTACACCCTTCTTACGTTCTCTGTCTTCTTACAGGATAAGTCGCTTAGATTCAGCTTGAGTCTCAAATTGAGACTCAAGCTGAATCTAAATACAACTAATCAAGCTGAATACAACTAAAAAAAATAATAACTAAGAAATAATAAATTTTGAAAATGAAAAGTATTGCTCAGCCAACCAAAGTCAAGTGTCATAATTTGTGGAAGGTACAGTTAATCCATATAACAAAGTACGTATTTTATTGTATTTGGAAGATCTTTCATAAATCTTAACCAATTTTACGACATAATAGATGTCAAAGATATTATCAAATCGAACATTTTTTTATCAACACAACTATACGAGAAAGACAGTAATGCTTTAAATTATAATAATACCACAGTGCCATTAATTAGATAATAGTTAAGCTAAGGAGTCTGCTTTCAAATTAGAATTTAAATAACCTTAAAACTTCCCATTTAATTCAGTTTATTCAATTAGGAGTATGTAATCATTTAACAGATTCTTACCATTTATAAGAATATTTATCTCCCTTCCCGCGAAAACGAATATTCACGAAATTATTACCCCAAACAGATGTCTAATGGCATTACTGCACTTTAGTGCATTTTTACGTTTTATTACGTAATTATGTAATGTCTAGCGTATTTTGCAATCATCCAAAGTATCCAGACTCTTGGTAGACGTTACGCGAATTATTGCTAAGTAACAATTGAAACTTGCGAAATGTGTAAAAGACTTTTGTTTAAAACTAAAAGAACCAAAGGCACAATTTGAGTTTACAATTTAGCCGACCACTTGTGACAAGATAACTTAAATACCATAGGTCGAATATAAAAATTTTGATTCAAATAAAGCAGTAGCCAAAGTCTATATAGATCAGTTAACGCGAAGTTGGCTCAAAAAATTAATCGACTTCGATATCAATGATCGGGAGTTGTAATGCAAGGCCGAAGCCTGGAAATCTTAGCTAGCAACTTAGGAACGTGGCCTCGAGAGGCAGACCACGCTCCTTATTACAATCTAAAAACATCACAAGAAACACTACCGAACTAATTTTCATTCCGATGGGAAAGCGGAAGGGAAAAGTGACAGTAAAGATTCTTGTTGTCTCGTCCACGCAATTCATGGAAGAAAGGTTGAAAGAGCCTCAAGGAGGTTGGATTTCTACTTCCACCCTAGTTTTGAGGAAGGGCATCCCGGGGTCCGAGGGTTTCCCTCTCCTCTCCCCTTCCACCAAACCACACAAGAGGATTTTCGGCTCGGCATATATTTAGAGTGCCCCCCTGCCGCAAAGACACTATACATTTATAGACATCTATGCCTTCTTCGGTATTCGAACCCGGGCCCTTCGGTACCGCAATAGGCTCCCCTATTATTTATGGTACCTAATTTATACTAAGGATCACGCGTACCTCAATGGCATGCTTCATGTAAACTTTAACTATCATGATAACGTATATTGTATAGATGTATATATGAATATGAGTGAGAGTATGTATACTTTTATTTGTTTCGGAATATATATGTATGTAAGTGTGTATATGTTACGGTGAAACACCGAAATCTGGAGAATGTTGACTTTCACCGGTGAATGTCAACATTCACATAGTCGCTTGGTGTATGTTGGAACTATTTTCCAAATACTCTTATTTCTGACTTAAACCGGTGAATGTCGACATTCACCATGTACTAATGGTGAATGTTGAACATATAAGAATATTATATTTTCTTCTCCGTAATTCGGTCGCGAAAAAACGCACTTGAGACTGAAATTAAGAAGTTAATATAAGAACTTAAAACACACAGTACGTTCAAAATGAGAAAGGAAAATAATAGAAGTTATAAACTTTCCAAATTATGTGATTCAAATCTTATTTATTGCAACAACTTAAACTATTATGACACTTTGAATTGCACAAGAGGCCCTTGCTTTTTACAACTGCATTTATTTGTGGAACACTTCCTTTTGCAATGGCAGCGTGTACATATACTCCTCTCTTTTCGACCTACACCAGAGCATATCTGTGATTGTCGACATACACCGGTGAGGGTCCGAATGTACAAGAATGTAATGCAATATTCGATCTTTCACCGACGTATTTGGTGAATGTTGACATTCTCCGGTGAAAGTCGACATTCTCCAATTTCGGTCTTTCACGGTAACATATTTATTTACTGTATCTGATGTATATTTATATTATATATATATATTATAGATAGTACGTCTTCAAGTGCCCTATATCACATGTATTTCTTGTACATTTTGTACTCTTTATCAAGTGCCTTGTATGCACATGATATTTCTTTTTGCGTTTTACAAATGTCGTCTGCTCAGCCGGGGCTGCCCAGGGCTGCGGCCTGGCAGCTAGTGGTGAACTCCCTCTGAGTTGGTAACCAATTCTGCATAGATATATCTATACCTGGGTCGGAAGCCAACTAAGCGGTTTATTCCTAACCACTATACCGTTTGGATGGCAACAATAAAGATTCTAAACATAAAATAACTGCTTAATTAACATAAAGAAACATTATCAATGCAAAACTATTGAGTAAATGAATAATGGCTAATCCAACTGTGGACGAGAGTATAAGGCAACGGAAAATAGTATGTCAACTCGAATTCGGGACCACCAGCGGCCGAGCGGTAAAGTCGCTGAACACTGGTAGTTCGGTCCGAGGTTCGAATCCCGCGAACGGGCTGGCTGCATGGGCGTTTTCGTGGTTTTCCCCATGTGTAAATAAATACGTAAATGTGTATACGAGCCAGTTTCCCTTAGAAAGTCCTCCACGAAAGGCATCCCTCCCTTTAGGCAGATAGCCCTCGAGGCTTTGCCATAATAACACACACACACACACACACACAACTCAAATTCGAAACCTGGCGAAGTTTCTGGCTGCATAGACGTAAAATGTGAATACGAGCCCCTTTCCATTGCAGATTTCTTCCACAATGTCATCCCTTTCCAGTGTAATAATAAAGTAAACAGTCTTAGCATATTTTTCTATAATATAGTAATAAATCGAAATAAGTATTGCTTACCGAGATTTCATAATTCGTGCGTAATACAAGCCTTATAATAATTCCATGTAAATTTTATGCTTAAAATGCCTCCTGTAGTTATTTAATGATAACTATGAAACTAAATTATCAGCTCTAATTTCTTACACATTTTTTTTCTCAATTAATCAACTGTGCTTTTAAATTTAACAACGGCACAAATTCTCGGTATTAGAGGTATACGATATACATTGCGAGGTAATTCAAACTTTTCTGGGTTTGCAAACAAATTTTTTCTTGTCTGGCGTTGGAGCGTCATTCAGTCTCACACGAACATTCATGTTTTTTAGAATTTTGGATAGGAAAAAATGTTTCAGAAAATAATAAATATTTTATGACTGAATTTGTGACCTTTTTTAAAAACAACTTCGAATTGTCGAAAAATATCAGAATTCTTCTGTTTATTCTGCACATGATTAGAGAAACAATTTGCATATTTATCAAAATAGCACCGCTAAACAAGAATTAATAACTTACATTGATTAGGAAATTCACAAAAATTCTCAATTTCTGCCTCAAGTTAAAAATGCTAAAATTTTCAAATATAGGATCTGTCAGAAATACGTTGTTTTATCTTCCTGGTATTTAGCTCAACTGAAATCATACATCGAAAAAAAGAGTATAACAAATTGAAATATTACTAAGGAAAATATATTGTTAAATCCTCTTTCTCTAACAAGCACCAGATCCATTCTTAATAAGAGCTATAAATCCTTTATTCTTCATATGATCATTTCCTGCTACGGATCATTAACGGTTACATATCAGCGACTCAAAACTCTCGAATCAAGTTCTTCGTTTGATTTCTGGTATTTAAAATCTATTCTTATAAATATGAAACTCTTTTGTAACGGAAACAAGTCGGAATCGATCATTCAAGGAAAAGATGTTCTTTTGTAAGATAATTTTTGAGAGCTCTTGGATAATTTTAGTACTTTGTAGTGCTTTCGAAGCGTGACTTAAAATGTTTTGTCTAAGGTTTCGGGTATGGGAGAATGGGAGGAGTGGAATTCAAAGTGAATGACTTTTATGGTCTCCGTGGATCCGTTGCTGATTCCCACAACCGTATCGAAATAAAGACTTTTATTGTATGGAATTGAAATTTCTCATGCAGTGTATACATCAAACACTAACCAAAAGTATATGATTCTGTTTATATATTATAAACATGTAGAGACATAAGGCTATTTCGAAGCAGGAGAGATGAAAAATGAGCAATGCTCTCGCTGAGAATCAAACCACGGACCTCTCGAATACGCACCATGAAGACGTGCTAAGAAGGTGGGAGAAATACCTTATACACTCCCCCTCTTAAAGGGCGATTGGGGATTAGGGAATCGAATCGCCACATCCTGGTGGTGAGGAATCATCATCCACCACCTTTTTTAGTTCGGGCGCCACTGTAGAGACATTAGGTATTTTTTGAAAGCAGGAGAAATGAATAATGAACAATGCCGTAGCCAGGACTCGAACCTGGATCTCTCGAATGAGCATCGAGTGTGCTGACCATTGCACTACGATGGCATGCTAAGAGGATGGGAGAAATACCTTATAAACATAATATCTCAGTAACTTTTATTTCCTTGTACGAAGTAAAGTCCGTTGTGAAAAATTTAGGTATCGTTTTTCAAACGAAATATTCATTTTAACCGTTCCCATTTGGATGATTTTTTTTGGCATGTTGTCTGCACGTACAGAAAGAATAAATAACTGTTTTTCCGAAATGGATTACAAAATGTATTTAAAGTGGATTCAAAAGGGATTTTTTTCGTTAGGTCTGTACTTACGTAGATACATACGTATATATGTACGTATCTACATACGTATATATGTACGTATACGTATATACATACGTATATATGTACGTATGTATGCATGTATGTATGTATCTCGGATAGCTTAAAATCTATTATCCATGGAACGTTGAAATTTTATGTATGGGACTGCTGTAGCACCCATTTGTGCACCTTTTCAATCATACTCCGCAGAACCAAAGATGTATATTTATACATATTTATACCTACTTCCTTTATTCAGCTTAAACATTCTTACCTGGTCATTGTTTTCGCAATTTTTGGTCGTATATTCCAATTACAGAAGTATTTTAAATGACGAAAATATTTATGTTTTGACAACGTCAGATGTAAGAAAAGAATTTAATTTTCGGCAAATAAACGAAATATAAATTTTTAATGCTGTCTCTCTATTCCTTTACTTATGTTAGAAAAAGTTTTATAATCGTTATGAAAAAATAAAGTTAGAAGAAATTTGACTCCCATACAAAAATTGACCGGTATCTGTAATTTCAAAATTTGGAATTTTTAATGTCGTTTTCGATTTGCCTTGAGAGCTCGGTTAATTATGTTGAATAAGTTTAAGTGAAGCGCAACAAAAAATCTGTATAACTTAGTAGGTCTTACAAGGAAGTCACGTGGTGTTCATATGAGATATGTTTCATTATTGAAATTTTTTACTATACGCTCAAATTATTATACGTATAGTGAACAGATACACTTTAATTTTGTTGTAGAAAGTGTATTGGTAATTCATAATTGAAATATCTTAAATAATTGATTACGGTAAAATTAAATACAGTAAAAATACTTTAATGCTGTTAGTTACTGTAATCAGTTTGACTTTAACAACTACATTCTGTTGTTAAAAGGTAATTGCAATGTTATTGAAATATATGTTTATGACGTCTTAATGTAAAGGCATAATAATAACAAGTAGATATGGTATAAGAATTTAGTAGTACATGTTATGTCGTAGTAGTATAGTAACTTCTTGCAACTGTTAACTCTATCTGAACGTACTGCCAGAGTAAAGTTTTCGCATCAATTCTTATATTTATGAAAATTATTACTTTATGTAACAATTTTTAATAATTTATAACAGATTATGTATTAATGATACTTTTAATAGCTAGCAGATATAAAAATCCTTTACCGAAATGCAAATGGGTACAAAGATAAACATCTTAGGTTTGGTGTATTTGGTGTATTTAATTATGGCAAAGCACACTAGGGCTATCTGCCTAAGAGGAGGGATGCCTTCGTGGAGGACTTTCTAAGGGAAACTGCCTCGTATACACGTTACACATGGGGAAAACCACGAAAACGCCCATGAAGCCAGCCCGTTTGCGGGATTTGAACCTTGGACCGAACTACCAGTGTTCAGCGACTTTACCGCTCGGCCGCTGGTGGGCCGAACATCTTAGGAATAACAGCTTTCTGGTGGGAGTTCATTACACTGTCTTTCAACTGAAAACTCACATGCCATTGGAACTTAAACTAGTTTGTACTCTGGTGATGGTGGGCGGAAGGAATAGAAGATGCAGAAAAGTATTAATATAAAAGTAACATTTTAATGTTTAAAAAATAACTCTTAAATATAATGTAGCTTTCAAGTTCAAACGCTAAATAATACGTTCATTATATAATATTACAATAACTTTGCATGTCGGATTTGTCTTAGCACCCGAGGTTGTGAATTAATTCCTATAAAATAATTAAATTGAAAAGCAATTTAAATAAAAATATGTGTGAAGAAAGAAGAAAGCCACTTAATTCTATCGATCTCTGAGCTGCAATATTTTAACATTAATATAATTTAATGATATCATTTCAAATATTATTTATAAAAATTTGAATTTATTGTAGATGGGTTTTATTTGTATTAGCAGGTTACAGTTTGAGAATTTCATAATTTTCATTTTATGCTTAAAGAATTCAGAGCAAAGAGTTTGAGAGATGAATTATTGACACCTTAAAAATGAATTATTTAATTCTTTATTTCAGATCAAAGTCTTCTCAAACAAGGTACATAATAAGCGTTCTTTCGTTTTTGTAATGCTCTCTTTCAAGTGATTTTAAACAGAAAATGCGAATGAAGTATTTCACTGCATTTTCCCCCCTGGCGATTGTTTCAGTTTGGTTTGGTTTGGCTTATGTAATTATAAAAAAGCCTCAAGGGCTGTTTACATAAGGAGAAGAATGCCTTCGTGGAGGACTTTCCAGGGGAAATCGGCTCGTATAGCAATTGTTTTAAAACAAACATAAAATTTGTGCCTACTTATATGCAAATCCTATGAAGCGTATAAGCTTATAGTTAAAATATTATCTTTAAATTTATGCATTCATAAGCATAAATTTAAAGATAATATTTTCTTGGACTTTGATGATATTTTTCTTGGACTTTGATTTGAAATCGCAATGAATTTCTTGGACTTTGAAAGTTGCTAAAAAAAGAAATGTTTTTGAAATGTCGAGCTTTTCATAATAGTAATGCATTTCAATAATTTTTACCTATTTGTTTCTTGCCAGTGTTCGAATCATGTGTAATTACTCGTTTGAAATAAATATGTAGTAAAGACGATTTTGAAAATAATAATGCCAACAGGGAAGTGAAAAAGAGAAAACAGTTTTAAAAATTATTCTGTATTTAAAGAATAAAACTTATGTAGAAAGAATGTATTGATTATACGAGGGTTGGAACTTTAATAGTGGCAACACCGCTGAAAAAAGGCTATGCAACAAAACCAAAGAATATTGCGTATACCACACGTAAACTACATACCTACCTTACCTCTCACCAAAAAAACTCGTCTTGCCTACGTAACGCGCATGTGGAGTGACGCGAAGAACGAATCCTTGTATTAGCTCGCGGTCTAAAGTAAGTGTTGTCAGGATGTTTTCAAAACAGGAACAACGATGTTGGATAAAAATTGAATGTGCCAGATGTCGTACAGCACGACAGTGTCATCAAGAGGCTTGCGGGGAATCTGCATTGGCTTACAGAACGTAGCAAGGGGTGAAAGCATTCAATGAAGGACGCCAAAACGTGGCAGACATGCTGCGGCCAGGTCGTCCGAGTGTCAGCGATGCAGACGGGCAAGCTGTTGCCGCACTAATGGACAGTTGCCGCCAAATGATGCGCATACCGAAACATTCGATCGTCTCAAACGGGTAAAAAAATTACTATAAGGTTACGTCACATCTGGGGTGAAGGCTTTCAGATTTTAAATCAATGGGAAACGATTGGAGAGAGAGGAGATGAGCGAAGGGAGAGCTTTTTTACGCCGTAATTACGTGAGGAAGGGGGGCCCTATCGTACCAGCCCGACTGAAATCAAAACGAAAGTCGCGTCATCAGGTCACCACGAGTTCGAAATTTCGTTGAGACCCCAGCAATGTGAAAAAGTGATATTTCCTGGATGGTGTGATAACAATACCGTTACGTCACAACGCGCAGTATTACTGCTCATTTTTGGAGCACATTCTCCGACCAGCTTTGAGAACAAAACGGCCACACTTTCTGCAGAACGCTCCTCTCATTGCGCCGCATGCAGCGCAAGCTGTGACTGATTTGTTCGAGCGATGGGGCTGGGAAGTGCTTTACCATCCACCATACTTCCCAAATCTAAGCCCTTGTGACTATGACTTAATTCCTAAGATGAAAAAACCACTTCGTGGCACTCGCTTCCAAACTGTTCCTGAGACTCTTGCGGCAGTAGACCGGTCCATTCAAACTATCAACAAAACAGGCGCTGCTACAGGTATTCTGCGACTTCCACATCGTTGGAAACGGGTTGTACACAATGCTGGCGACTATATTGAAGGATTGTAAAACATGGTGACATGAATCATTTTTGAATTCCTTGTAAATAAATAGTTGCCACTATTAAAGTTCCAACCCTCGTAATAATAAGCACTTTGTAAGGATTATGTTAATTTTATTAACAGTTAAATTTTAAGTTAAAGTTCCTTTTCTGTCAAATTCTTAACTTCAACTTACTACTTCCGGCCAGAACGTAGTTTTGGAATTTTTCTGAATACATAATGAGAAAGAGCGGTATTTAACCGCGAAGTTCTTTGGTCTTAGCGAGAGAGAATCAGAGTTTCTGATTTACGCGCGTCTGCCTTTTGTTACTCTCTCTCTCAAAGCTGTTATTACGCTCGGCCGTAATCAGGCCCTTGCTAAGCTTCGTAGTCAAATAGAGTTATGGGGCCAACTAGTCCAGAATATTGATAGCTTCGGCCATATTTCTTTAGTTAATCTTAGTTTTAGTTTAATTCTTAGTCGCTTAAGTGCAAGCCCAAGTGTCGGCTTTGATTGTACACTCCGAGACGGAGTTTTGTTAAATCTTATTGGAATAATAACGGGTTAGTTACCCTTCCATCTTGTTGTTACTTGTCGCACGAACTTAAGCGATTATTCGCTAAATAGTTCTTAAGATTCGTCACTTTCTACAGTAACTGAGAATTTCTAAGTGAAAATCTGACAACTTTATTGTTACAACATCGAGAGATAACATAAAGTCTCATATTTAGTGTATTATCGTACTTCGAGTATCCCACATCAGATCAAATATCATGCTCTGGGAGTAGGCGGTGTCACACCATTTTCGCAAATAATGATGTAAAACATTGTAAAACTGAATAAGTGTATGTTTTTTTAATTAAATTTCATATTGTACATTTAGCATCTTCTTACCTTCAGATGCAAATGGAATAATTAAACCAC